TTGGATATTTTTAGCACATTTGGCAATAACAACAAATATTAATTGTTAAATTATTCAATTATTGAAATTCGATGTAAATAATTTTGAAGCACTTTTGGAAGATTACTAAGGCCCCCTAGAGGACCTCGGTCCCCTAGTTGAGAACCACTATACACTAAGTTCATTATCGAAAGATAGCGGGTGATCAGGAGGACCCCAACATGAAGCAGAAGGGTTTTGTATCACCCTAAAGGTTTTTATTTTGTTGATAATGGTGGATTGGCTGTACAAGATCCCTTACATAAGCTATTTAATTCTTATAATTTATATTAGATTATATTTACAAAAAATACACCTACAAGTTTTTACACAATTGATCAACTGACTGATCGATGCTCGATCAACCGAATACACAAGCTACCGGATGACGTACCATTCATCGCTTCACATCCATTCTCCCTCTAGGCACGTGACTTCCTCTTTGATCTTCTGATTAGAAAGACAACGTTAGAGAAGTAAAGAGTGTCACAGTGCTATCCCAGGTTCTGTGGACGCTGTACGGAAATCACCAGGAAAGGGAAGCAATGTGCAATTGTGAGGGGTACATTTATTTGGTGACTTTCAGCCAATGTCATCCTACAGGCCTTTGATTCCTTCCAGTTAGTATTCTGTGCATACTCACTACTCCAAGTCAGAAACTCTTCCTTATCCAATTCATTCGCTCCATTCTCTCTCTCTATCCCTTCAGCTCAGCCTCTATCTCCCGCTCTCTATCGCTCTGATTTTCTTTGACACATCTTCTCTCTTCCTTCTCTCTAGGGTTCTCCAGCTCTGAGGATGACTATTGTAATGGGCATAGCCATTTGAGGTCTGAAGGATATTAATGTCCGTCCGGTCTGGAATATAAATAAATATATTCTGTCCTCGATTTCACGAAGAAAAAAACTGGCCTATATAAACAGACCAGTGTCCTATATGACTCTTTGCATGCCTTATATTTCGCATATAAGAAAAAGTTTAAAAGAACTACAGCGCAGTTTGCGAAGATACACGGAAGGCACAAATATACTAACATTTTTTCTTGTACTTTTTTTGTTAAGAATAGATTTTGAAAAAGGAAAATCATGATTTAAATGTCAATACTAGTAAATCATTCTGCCCTAATACATCGCTACACAGTAGTACTGACAGATGAAAGAAAATGTACCATCAAACAGTTTGTTCTTCTGTTAAAATTCAGTGATGCTCAGCCAAATGTCATCACAGAGAAAGATGTCACACTCTCTTCCATCCTTCCTTCCTGAGCAATGCATTATCACTGGTTTCATATGCACAAAAAGCATGCAGTCCGTTTTAAACCATCAAAACACAGCAGAATGATGTCTAAATAATCATTCTTTTGGTTATTGATTCGGCCACTAGAACAAAGTCATTCATCAATGTAAGAAAAAACAACAAAAAAAACACCAGCTTCAACTCCACAGGGACAAGCATGTGCACCGTTCCATCATCACTTACTCACCCTCAAGTTGTTCCAAACCTGTATGAATTTCTTTCTTCTGCTGAACACAAAATAAGATATTTTGAAAAATGTCGTTAACTAAACAGTTGATGGGCCCAATTGACTACCATAGGATTTTATTTTCTCCATACTACATAAATAACAAAAGCTGTCTAAACTAGCATTTGTAATAATCTCGTCATGTAGTGCTTGATAAAACAAACAAAGATATGTACATAAAGAATATGTGGGGCTTAAACAGGTTTAAAATCTGAGGTTGCTCTAACAAAATTACCTTGATTTAAAAATCTCAAGAAGACTTCACGGAAGATCACATGATCATAAACAGCTACATTTCTTAATTTAAGTAACCATGTCATGTTCCCTTTTGTGGAAGGGCCATTATTGGCAAGGCAAGACACTTTATTTTCTAGAGCACATTTAAAACAGCCACTGCTGACCAAACTGTTGTACAATCACTTTAGACAATAAAATACATAAATACATAAACACACACAAATTCATAAAATTACATTGAAGCATAAGCCAGAGAGAAAAAATAAGTCTTCAGTGAGGATTATTGGGGGAATTCACTTGCTAACTCCTTATGGAATGACCCTTCAAGTATCATTTCCATCCCATAGTGGCTTTTAAGTGAGTAAAAGTGCATTTAGAATATTGCAGTTGAATTTTTTCCTTCCAGTTTCTTAAACTGAGGTTATCAGAGTGAGACCCTGCAATTAGTTTAAAGCAGTTTGCTTTGGAAACACTAAAATGAAACCTATGCAACCATGAAAAAAAAAAGTGTCCACATAGTTTTCAAATGCAATTTAAGCAGCATTGACACCATTCATGCTCTACAGCTGTTCATATAAAAACACCAATTCATTCATTATGCAACCTACCCTTCCACAAAATCTTGAGCACTGCAGGCATAGTGACTTCAAGTCACCACTTTGAACCTTTGCATTAAAACAAAAACGCTGGTCTAATATTACCACAACAACCAGTGATTAATTCGGTTTTCATATTCAGTTTAATGAGCATAAAAGCTTAAGTCTGGATAATGTTCTGCCAATCTCTTTAGTTCTGACAACAACAAACATTTTTTTTTTTTAAATAATTTACTTCCTTAATCCTGCATGAAATCACCTGTATAAAACACTATGTCTAAGCTTAGTTAATAAGAGGTTTAACTTGTTCTCAAGACATGACAGCAGGCATTTAATGTCTTTTAAAAAGAGAAATGTTGTATGATCAATGTTTTTGACTGGATTGAGTTAAACTACATGAAATATGCATATAAAAGGAGTGCAAGAATCAAGGTTGTGTTTCCATAGTAATGTCACTTAGTTGCCATGGTAAATTATTTCTTGTTGAGATAAAATTACTAATTTAAACAAAGAACTATCCAGCCATTTGGATATCATTTAATCCGTCTTGCCTGTCCCATTCAACACTTGTCTCCAACACTTGGCTTTCAGAAACAAACATAAATGTACACATAACATGCTAAAGGAAACCCCCCCGCACTTCAGATCCTTTAATAAAGAAATTGTACAAACACAATATTTAAGCTGTCAGCAGAAAAATAGTGATCATTTAAAGATGCCTTTCCTGCTCAACACTTTCCCTGTCACAGCCTTTGTCTCAATCGAACAATCGCCCATCACCACGATCCCTCCCTCTAGCAGCTGCATGCATCAGACGACACAGCTGCAGAGGCAGATTGCAAATATCAATGTAGACCACAGACTAAAGTTTTATGAGAATCATGAGAACAAAAAAAAACACTGGTTTTACTGTCAGTTCGACTGGAGGACTTGCATCATCTAAGCAGTGCGATACAAAACTTACACGTTTCTGAGGAATCCAATATACAAGACTTTTTTCTTTTCTTTTTTTACCAGATCTAATACAAATATCCACTTTAAGAAAAATCCTACAATCCAAAAGCTATGTGAGCTCCCAATTTTGTCTGATCATTTGTGTGGGTAGAAATGCATTACATTTGATTAATTACGGAAATATCCAAAGCAAAGCTAAATTAGTAGGGTAAATAGTATCTCTCGTTGGATTTGTTACGATGAAGAATAAATGAATACAGGTGATATACATTTTGATTGATTTCATTTTGAGGAAATATAACAAATAAACACACGATTCTGAAAATTATGGAAACTCATTTCCACCCCAGAGTAAGAAATAAAATAAAAAGTTACTATGATAATAATATAAAGTTGTAATTATGAGAAAATAAGGTCAACAACAATCTTTTAACAATTTTACACTGAGGCAGAGATATATGGGCTTCCATATTTTTACATTATGTAATGTTTATATACAGTATGTATTGAATTTATTAGTTTATTGTATCATTTAAGGCATTTATTTAGATTGTTTATGGACCCCTTTTCACTTCTCTCCCATTATCTGATTTCTCTAGTGACATTACAATGGTGAAACAAACAAACAAAACAAAAAACAGCAGCAGTTGGCTCTAGTTACTTGCATGTTTGGATGTACCAAGAGATTAATCTCGGTCGTTGTCATTTCTCCATTCAAGGACAAAGTACTAATACTATATGACAACCTCTGACACTGACATTATGCTATATATATATATATATATATATATATATATATATATATATATATATATATATATATATATATATATATATATATATATATATTAAAAAAAGACAATTAAGGCACAATTTGCCATTTCTCAATAGCAAACCTAAAGCCCTGTGGTCAACAATCCTCTAGTACTGTAGGTGAAGCAACCTTTCCAGCAGCACACGTCACAGTCACACAATATATATTTTAAAAAATAACAACATAAAAAAAACCTCTCAAATCCAAATTAGACCAAAACTATTGCATAGCAGATTGGGTGACAGTCGCACATTCTTATCAATTACAAAGCAACCAGTGTATGACAGCGTATGAGGGAAAAGATTAAGAAAGTAAGCACACTGACACAAATCAATCCAAATCTCTCTCTCTCTCTCTCTCTCTCTCACTACACACACATACACAAAGGCCATAAAAGACATTTTGTTAATTCTAGCAATGCCGTGGACACATCAATACTAAACTTAATTAAAAACCAAAGACACAACAGTGTTACACAAATATAATAACCTGTTTACCCAAATGATTCAAAACTTGTTTTACATATGAGCTAAGTGTGCATTACAGTTTTTACAAAAACTTTACAAAAAATGGTACATACCTGTTTATTTTCTCCTGTAAATTTAGACCACTCAAAAAGAACATCATCATTAAAAAACTAAAATGTCATTTTTTTCATTCCCAATGGTGGCCGCTGAATTTGTCATATGTGAATCTTAATCAACCAAACAGAAGGGCAGTGGACTAGGAAGGGTTCAGTTTAGATAAACATCAAGAGAACAAAAGAGTGAATGGAGGAAAAGAGTAGGGCAAAAAACAAGAATAATTCATTTTCCACTATTTAAAAAGGTGATAGATGTTTTGTTCCTCTCCCTCTTACCTCATGCAGCTTCACTCTTACTTTATTGATGGCCTTCAACCAGCGCAGACGGGAAGGAGAGAAAGGAGGTGGGCCATCCTCAAAGAAACTAAAAAAAGAGACAAATAAATGGCTAAAATCACTTGCTGGAACTACTTTTGGCCCATTTCCTATAAAGAGTATATTATACATTTACATGCATATAATTTGGTAACTTAACTTTGTCACCTTTTAAAAGTATACTAGCATACAGATGGTCTCAAAGCTAGACATGAACTATGGAACAAACCTAGAAAATTAAATTTCATGGGGTATTCTATTTAGATCAGATGCAGATCAGAAACAAAAATTTAAAACATGATTATGATACAATTAAACAATGTGTAATTATAAGGTTTCATTACAGTTGCAATCAAGGTCAATGAATACACATTTTCCAGTGTTCAATTTATTTGAATATTAACTTAATTTTTAGGTCTCATATGATTGTATCTTGTTTTATATTTCCTAGTCTTTACTAGATTAATTTAGCGTTCCTTTATTCACATCTATTCGGTGTGTAACACATACAGTACCTGTGCTGCCTCTCAGGTTTTCTCCCTTGATTAGAAACAGGTTTTGGTGTACTCTCCCCTTGTACTTCTTTCTCCACATTTGCTAGTATCTCCCTTTCCCCTTTTTCTGTGTCATCTGAGGATGGAAGAGGTTGAGCAACAACAGAAGACCTGATTTGAGTGTCTGAATAGCTTTGTTCTTCTGGCTCAGAGCTGAACTGGGAACTGGCTTGGCTAAGGTTACCAGAAGACCCAAATCGAGAACTGTCCACCGGGCTGGTGAAAGAAAACAAAAGATGTAAATATCAAGATGCAAATATCTAAACCTAGTCACAGACTAAAATCACACAGGTATCAATTTCAGTCCTTAGATTATGTTTAAAATGTGTTTGGGTAACAAGTCAATAATGTCATTACAGTAATGTAGTATGAAGAACCTTGGGGGGAAGTTGAATAAAAACAAACTAATATATAAAACAAACTAATAATATTTAATAAAATAAATAATAATTAATACAAATTAGAATATCTTTAAAAGATAGAGGATAATGTTCACAATAAACCATAATAAATGGCATAAGAACAGACATTTATTATGATTTTACTAGCCTTTTTTCAAAGGTTTGCTGTAGAAGTGTCCCTGGTGGCTTTTCTGCACTGGAATCTGTATCTGGAATGTCGTTGTCCTTATCTATGCAAACTTGGGAAATTTGAGATTTCTCTATATGTTCGACTTCCAGACAGGGTGACCCTTGTTTAAGTGCTGTTGGACTCTCTGGACTTGTGTCAAAGCTTGGCTGCTTATGTGAAGAGTTGTCACTTGGACCTTCTGTATCACTGGGATCCGCACTTCCTGTGACATCTGATTCAGGTGACAATTTTTCAGCCTCGGGTTCATACATTTCTTCAGGTCTCAAGTCTAGGTGTTTGGACTGGGTTGCAGGAGGGGTTTGAGGGGGTGAACTTTGCCATGGGAAGCCTATTTTCCTTCCAAACATTGATGACATGGTCTCTTCTTTTGCAGTAGCTGACTTCTCTTCTTGGAAGAGACCCACAGACAAACCTTTGAAACCGGAAAGCAGACCACTGCTCTCTGCTTGTGGCTGTGAAGGGTTGGTGCTGACTGAAGGGGCAGGAGTGGAAGAGCCAAAAAAAGAGCTGAAAGGTTTGGCTGTCTCTGCTGCACCAGACATCAAACCACCAAAAGAGGATGTTGACAAACCAGGTAAAGTAAAAACACCTTTAGAAGGTGGTGAGGTTGGTTGTTTGTCTTCAACTAGTATTTTGGGTGTAGATGGTGGGGTTTCAGTGTCTCCTGGTGGTACCTTTGAGGATAAACCTAATTCAGATGTCTGTGTGTGAATAGTTTCAGATGTATCATTGATCTCCTTGCTTTCATCTCTTGTTTCATGCAAAGAGTTGACCTCTTGCTCTTCAACAACCTTTAACGACTCAGAATCACATTCCCTCAGTTCTTCATTAACTAATTTAGTACCTGTCACAGTTGACTTAGATTCAGAGACTGCACTTGACTCATTAACATTGAGGCTCATTTGTTCTTTAGAGTCTTGTGTTCCATCTTTACCTTCAGTTTTCTCTGGCAGCTTGGTTTCATCTGAATTTGTTGCTTCTGTACCTTTAAACAATCCAAACAAATCACCAGTGAGAGAGTCCGTTTGCAGGCTGGTTGGGAGATTAAAAAATGAGCTCTTCTGCTGTTGTGGTGCAGTGGATGTAGGTGATGACTTGAAGAAAGAGGTCTGTGGCACTGAGAAGAAACTAGAAGTTGCTGGCTTGCTAGAAGCACTAGGGCCAGAAAACATTGACATAAAGCCAGAAAATGCAGCAGGTTCTGGGGGTCTTTGAGAGCCAGGCATTCTTGGTCTTGGTTGACCAGAAATGACAGGTCTAGGTCCTCTTGGATCAGGCATTCCAGGTCTAGGTCCTCTTGGATCAGGCATTCCAGGTCTGGGCTGACAAAAAGGTCCAGCCATTCTTGGTCTTGGCTGAGCAGGAAAACCCAGTATTCCTGGCTGAGGCACAATCATTTCTTGTTTAGGCTGTTGCTGCTGCTGAACAGAAGAAATAAGCTGTGGATCTAAAGATGGTTGCATGGTGGACACCATTAATGTTTTGTCACTTTCTCTTTCTTCTGACTTTGTAATTTCATCAGTTTGTTTCCCTTTAAGGTCTGCTTGTTGGCTGTCAGAAATTCTGTCTGTTATTTGTATATCATCACCTTTTCCCGATTCTTCAATGAGAGTTTTCTGATTTTTTGTGCCTTTCTCAGAACCCAGATGTTTGTTCATTTCTTGAGACTTTTCCAGTTCCAGACATTCTTCTGATTCCACATTTTTCTCCACTGGTTTGTCAGCTTCTAATGGCATTTCATTTTCTTGTAATTCATTCAGTGTTTCAGGCTCTACAGCATTATCAGATTTTAGTGACACTTCTGATGGTTTCTCAATCGCAACAGGCTCTGTAACTCTCCCTTGCCGGGATGAATTATTAAGATCAAACTGGTTTAAATCTTTATTAAAATCAGGTTTCTCTGGACTAGTGGCTACAGTTTCTTTGTAATTTTCCTTGCCCAGCTCCTCATTTTTAAATTGGTCATTAATAGTTTGTTCCTCAGGTATTTTGTCAACCACTGAAGTTTCTTCATTTTTAGATTGTTCCTCTGTCAGAAGTACAACCTCTTCAGTCTCATTTATTGGTGTCATGCAATCAGTTTTCTTTGAACAAGTGTCTACAGTTTCTTTGTAGCTTTCCATGTCCAGCTCCTCATTTTTAAATTGGTCATTAATAGTTTGTTCCTCAGGTATTTTGTCAACCACTGAACTTTCTTCATTTTTAGATTGTTCCTCTGTCAGAAGTACAACCTCTTCAGTCTCATTTATTGGTGTCATGCAATCAGTTTTCTTTGAACAAGTGTCTACAGTTTCTTTGTAGCTTTCCATGTCCAGCTCCTCATTTTTAAGTTGCTCATTAATAGTTTGTTCCTCAGGTATTTTGTCAACCACTGAACTTTCTTCATTTTTAGATTGTTCCTCTGTCAGAAGTACAACCTCTTCAGTCTCATTTATTGGTGTCATGCAATCAGTTTTCTTTGAACAAGTGTCTACAGTTTCTTTGTAGCTTTCCATGTCCAGCTCCTCATTTTTAAGTTGCTCATTAATAGTTTGTTCCTCATGTATTTTGTCAACCACTGAAGTTTCTTCATTTTTAGATTGTTCGTCTGTCAGATGTACAACCTCTTCATTCTCATTTATTAGTGTCATGATTTTAGATGTAGTATTACCATTTATGCATGGCAGCATTTCATCAGTCCTCCCTGTAACATTCATAGAGTCTTCCTTCATTTCATCACACGGTTTTTGATCCATCTTAACGGGAGATTCGGTAGTGTTCTCTAAAGAAACCTCTTCTTTAGCCTCAACAGATGCATTTTCATCTGTAATTGATTTAGTTAAAGTTGTGGGTGTTATATGGCATGTGAGAGAAGCCTCCCTTATAGTGGTAACATCCACAGATTTTGAATCTGATTTCTTATCATCCATGAAAGACATGATTTTGAATCCAGTGGATTTTGTTTTATCAGATGAAAATACAGAGGGAACTTTAAAGAGACCTTCTGGCTCAGGGCCTCCAGTTGGACTTTGCCCACTGAACATGGAAAACAATCCTTTTCCTGTTGTCTCCTTATTGGTGGATTCAGTTGCAGCAGCATCAGTTGGTGCTTGAGATTGAGAACTACTTCCACCAAACATGGAAAATAAACCAGGCCCATTGGTTTCTTTGGCACCAGAACCAGGCAAAATACCTCCAAGAATTGAGGATCCAGATCCAGGTGTTTTTGCAGCAACTCCACCTGTTGGTGCTGTCTGCTGAGAAGACCCACTAAACACAGAAAAAAATCCTTTACCCAGTGGTTCTTTGGAAGTGGGCCCTCTTGGTGTTGGACTCCTTGGACCAGGTCCTGATGTAGCCCTTAGAACATGTCCTGGTGGTCCTCTTGGTCCAGGTCCTGAAGCCACCCTTGGAGTAGGCATGTGTGGTGGTCTTTGTGCTACAGGCAGACCTTTTGGGCCAGACACAGGCGGACCTTCCTGGTCAGGTTGTGGCTGAGCAACAGATCCACTAAATATAGAAAACAGGCCCTTTCCAGGTGGATCTTTAGGTGCAGATGAGGCAGGGGTTGCTTGAGGTGCAGCACTTCCAAACATTGAGAATAATCCTGTACCTGGCATTTCGTTAGAGGATGAGGACCCAGGGATAATTCCTCCTAGTATGGACTGTCCACTCTGAGGTTGAGATTCACCCAAAGATGGGCCAAAAAGTGAGAATATGCCTTTGCCAGATTTCTCTTCGACAACTGTGTCTTTGAGAGTGAAAGGAGAAGCTGGTTCAGTGCTAGTGGGTGTGGTCTCTTCATTTGATCTTGCAGGCACTGTTCTCTGCACTTCCACTTCCTTTGTACTTGGTTCAGATTTTGATATGGAGGTTTTCAGAGTGTCTTCTGATGGTACTTTTTCTGTTCCTGAAGACACTGGTCCAGAAGTGATACTCAGTTCGTCAGACATTACTGTAGGGGATTCTTCATGATCTTTTATTTTTTCTTCACACTTTGTTGATTCAGTGTTTGCACCATCTCCTAGGTTCGACTCTTGTTCAAAACAACAGGAAACTTGGTCATCTTTATTGTAATCTTCTTCAAGATATGTTTTTTCAGAAGAGGTGGCCTCAGGGCAAATACTCTCATTTTGGTCAACAGTGCTTAGTATTAATGGTGCTGATGCATCCTCAATGGAGGCATCATGTTTAATCTCAGAAACCTCTGTTAGAGCCTCTGGAGATGCTATTATTTTAGATAAATTATTTTTGATGCTCTGACTGTCAATTTTTTTAGATGCCACATCCACTGTAGCTAAATTTTCTTGAGAACCAACAGTACATTCCATGGAGGTCTTGTCAATGAGAGATAAAGCAAAATCATCTTTCTCTGTTGTATCAAGTTCATCTGTCAAGATATCTTCTTCACTAGGACAGTCTTCAGGACTGCTAGCCTCTGAAATCATGATCTGAGGGATAAGCATCTTTCTTGGTCCCAAACCAGAACTAACTAATGTTCGCCCCTCTAGCTCAGTGGGTGAAACTGTAGTGAAAGAAGGTATCTCTTCGATAGACATCATCTCAGACAAAGCAAACTGTTGGGGGGTAACATCTAATTGACTAACATTGTGCACCACAGTATCTTGTGTTGAAACAGATTCAGACATTGCTGCTGTTTGTGGTATGGAGGCCTGTGAAGTCGCTTGAATTGACATATACTGGGCATCACATCCACTTTCTGTAGCTGAATGATGTAGAGTAGACATTTTATCCGGTTGGCCTGAATCAGTCTGGTTGCCAGACATAAGCATAAATGGTACATCTTTCAATTGTGTTCGAAGTGTTAAGGGGGTTATTGTAGACCCACTGGAAGATGTAGGAAGGCTGGTGGCAACCGGAAAAGACGTATCACTTGTGACTGAAACTTCAGCAAAGGGAATGCTTTCAGAAGAGTTTACTTGAGACTGTGACTCTACTGGCACAAAAACATTAATTGGCTGAGAAATTGTGCCACCAAATGTTGGAGCCCAACTTTCAGCAAATGCCTCTGATGTTCTGTTATGTTGTACTAGTGAACTTAAAGATTGATCAGTGGGGAAAACTCGAGCTGGTGGAACTGGGGAAACTTCATTAAGTTCAACTGGTGGACTTAATACAGAAGTTGGTGTAGTAAATACTGGACTTGGAAAAGGCTCTGTGGGTGGATCGACTAAGGATGGTGGTGCAGTATGTGCTTGACCAGTAGTTATTATGGTTCCACTGAACACTGATGTATCTGCTGTTGTTGTCACTGTCCCGTTTGGAGATGTGGTAATTTCTTGGTTAAATTCAATACACTGATGAAGTGATGGTTTTATGATTGACTGTATCATTTTATCACTTCTTTGTGAGACATTAGCTGTTGTTGGCTGTGAGCCTGCTCCATCAAATAACGATATCAATCCTTTGACTGACGTCTTTGTGGCTGAGCCTGAAATTGAGACTTGATATGGAGGTAGTTGACGACCATCCATAACACTTGGCATGACAGCTGGACTTGATGAATATGGTCCTGGACATGCCATGGAAACTTCAGAGTTTGTAGTACTTGTGGGTACGACGACTACTGATTCTAGTTCAATGGCAGAAGTCATTACTGGCAAGTTTGCAGTAGTAGACACAAAGTTAGATGATAAACCCTGGTCAGGTATGGATACATCTTGAACAGATATAACTGGGCCAATTGAAGTATGAACAACTGTTTTGTCTAACACTAGCGGCTTTTCGTCTAAAGTAGCTGTCCCATTCTGAGGGATGCAATTATCTTCTAAGCTTCCCACTGTTGATTGCTTGATAAGACCTTTCGGTCTTGAGACAGTAGTTGAAGTAATAAATGGCTCAGCCTGCTGAATAAGTTGACTCCCTTCATTCTCAGTTAATGTTGAGGGAACTGACTGGTGTCTTATCATCTGCCTACTTATGATAGACATTTGAGCTGGTTGCTGATTAGTTGTATGCTCTGAGCAATTTATGTGAGGCATAGATGTTTGGGGCAGGTCACTGAAGGTCACCACTTTAGATGAATCATTGATTTCTGTAGAGAGCAGAGAGCCATGTGAATCAACACTTGTACTGCTTGCAAATGGAAGCCCCTTATCCAGAAGCTGTGGGTTGACTGTTTCAGCAGGTTCATTTTGTGCTTCCTTTAGTTGTACAGAATGTTTGGAGAAATGCATATCAGTTCTATGCAAATTATATTTCATCTGAACTGATGTATCTGCCATTTGAGTTGGCACGTTGGACTGAAAAGATGGATATGATGCTTGAGATTTAGGTAAATTATTTGATTGGGTGGCCAATATTTCCTTATTTTCTGACAGCTGTGGAGAATCCTGCTTATTTGTTGTAGTGGAACTCTGAACAGCATATATAGGCACTGTACATGCCGATGTGTTCAGAGTAGATATGCTAGTAGTTCTTGGAGATGAAAGATCTTTGACATCATTGTCACTTTTGTTTCTATTTACATCAATAACTATGTCAGCAGTCAAGTCAACAGCCCCAACATAAGATTTCTTAAAAGTAATACTACCATTTTTGGGATATCTGCTTTCAATCCTTGATTTCTCCTCTTCAGTTTTAGTAAAATCCACAGGATGTCCATTCTGAAGAACAAAGGAGCCGTTGTGTTTTGTAGGTGAAACAATGCCAGAAAAGTCAACCGGTTTGCTGAAGGCCTGAGATTCTACAGTTTGTAGCTTTGAGATTGGGAGGATTCCATTTCGATGATAGGTAGGGATCTGCTGGCGCAACAAAGTTTCTGTAGTATGACGTCCATCCAATAATTGCATTCGGTGTCGATTACCTTTTTCTCCTGGTAAGGATATACAGTGTGACGTTTTTTGAGGGATCTGCTCAGAAGGTGAAAAAGATTCAACTATTAATGGCATTCCTATTGATTCACTTCTTGAATCTTTGTTGATGGATACTTTATCTTTGACAAGAGGCAATACTCCACTTGGAAGCATTTCTCCTGTTGATGAGTTAGACATCTTAGAAGTTGATCGGACCACAGACATATCAATAGTGGATTTAATTGTGTTAGCTGGTGCCGAAGGTACTTTTGTTCCTTGAGCTATAGTTGATTTCAAAGAAAAAGAGGACTTTTCATCAGGCAATTTGATTTGCCCTCGAACTGGTTTAGGATAGAAAGGAGGTTCTACAATTAGAGAGACACCAGCTAGACTTTTTAATACTTCAGCATCAGTGCTTGTTCTTGTCTTTACAAGTGACAGCACACCAGCTTCAATGATAAGGTCTCCAGAAATCTCTGATGGCTCTGACAAGAGTTTTGGAGACATGTCAACTATGTCCCTGATTATATTAGCTGGTGCTGTGGATATTCTGTTGGGTTGTCCTGAAAGAGATGATTGGCGTGTAATTTGTAATGTGTCAGCTTTGCTTTGAAAGAAACCCACTTTAGCAGAGATGCTTCTGACTTCAATGGATGGCTGGCTTGAAGTAACACTATTCTTTTCTTTCAGTTTTTCCTTATCTGAACTTTGCTGCACTTGTGATGGAGATGTAGACTCCGATATAAGGTTTTCTTGGGAATCAGAGGGTGTTGCAATTGAAGGCAATCCAACAGATGTCCCTTTGGCAATCACAGTATCTGATGTTTTTCTTTTCATCAATGGCATTGGAGATAATTCTTGTTTTTCTTCTTGGACTTTTTCCGTTGGCTTTGTAGACATATCTACAATTGTCCTAACTGCACTGGCTGGAGCATAGGCTGCTTGCCAACTAGGTGTTTGTCGGCTTAAGACTGGACTGAACTGTGATGTTTTCAAATCCATCCTCTGTTGCGAAGAATCACTTTGTGTAACATTTGATTGCGATTCATAACTCCTGAGAAGAGTTTTCGACTGTTGTGTTGGAGGCTCCACAATCAAAGAGATACCAACAACTTCTTCATTACCATCTGAGCTCGATGTTGATCTTGCTCTCACAAGTGGCAGTGCTTCCTTTTGAACTGCCCCAGTTACCACAGCCGAATGAGTAGTTGATTTTGCAGACATATCTAATGTAGCTTTAATTGTATTTGCTGGAGCAGTTGCTGTTTGAAGATAATGAGAAGGTTGCACTGGAAAACTTACAGTTCTGTTATAATGATGTTTTTGACTGTGTAAAACAGGGCCTTCCTGGTTAAACTTGGAGTCACTAGATAAGAGCTGTGGCAATGATTGATGCCTTTGTGAGAGAAGATTTTTCTCTGGTACTGATGGCTCAACAAGCAAAGGCAATCCAACAAGCTCTTCATTTCCATCTGAGATTGATGTCGATCTTGCTCTCACAAGTGGCAGTGCTTCTTTTTGAACTGCCTCAGCTACCACAGCTGAACGAGTAGTTGATTTTGCAGACATATCTAATGTAGCTTTACTTGCATTTGATGGAACTGATGCTGATTGACGATAATGAGTGTGTTGCAGTGGCAAACTTGCAGTTTTGTTGTAAATACGGTTTTGGATGTGTAAAACAGGCCCTTCTTGGAAAAACTTGGATTTACTAGATAAGAGCTGGGGTAATGATTGATGCCTTTGTGTGAGAAGATTTACCTCTTGTGCTGATGGCTCTACAAGCAAAGGCAAACCAACATAACCTGTATTCATTTCTGTAAGTGAGGCACGTCTGCTTCTTACAAGGGGTACAGCTTCAGTTGCTGAGCTCTCAGTGATTATTGTCCCCATATCTTTTTTGACTGTCTTTGAAGTCATGACCAGAGTTAATTTGACTGAATTAGCTGGAGCAGTGCTCTCATTATATGATTGTCCAGTCATGGGACTAATTCTTAAGGATTCACTAGCAAGTGAAGTCTGCCTTATGAGGCCAATATGTTTATTTTGAGAAGGCTTCTGCAATGCTGGGCTTGACATTGGTGATGTCTTTATTTCAGAACATGTATGAGGGGATGGTGCCCGGGGTATGGAAGTTGGCACCTGACTGGGTTTGGCACTTTGCTTAAATGGCCCTCCCTCTAGCCTATCAAGTTGAGCTGGTGTTGAGGCTGACTTGAATGCTGCCTTTGAGGGCGAATCCACCAGGACTCTGTTAGAGCTTACCTGAGTACTGTTTGCCTGGGGCATCTGTTCTGAGGCTTGTCTAGCAAGCTGAGGTTTTTGTTTTTGTAATATGGGTGCTTCATTGCCACCACTGTCATTTTGTCTGGGAACTCCACAGTCTGGAGGAAAGTACTGTGGTCTGCTTCTCGGAGAGGGTGGAGCAGATACAGTTCCGAGAGGTACATCAGACATTGTCAAGAAAAGATTGCTGACCTCTAGAGCTGGAAAGGTGACATTGATTTCTTTCACTTCCTTCTTTAACTCAACAGTCAGATCAGTAGCCGCTGTCTCACTCGTGTCAGATGTCTCTTCAATCTGTTTTTTAACTTTTATTTTTGTTGTGGTAAAGTCAAAGACATCCAGAATACATCTTTCAGCATGAGTATCTAATGGAGTTTTCTCATCATTACCTTTGTCTTTTTTGATCATGGTTCCAGAGAAATCCATAGGTTTACTACAAAAAAAAGAGTCGACTGCCATTTGAGGTTTGTTAAAAAGTAAATTCTGTGGTGGTGGCAATGATATTCTTTGATTTGACATCACTGTGCAAGGTTTTGGCTTTGAGGGAACTACTTCAGTCTTAGAGCCTTCATAATTAGACACTTTCTCTGAGCCTTCAAAATTCAACACTTTATCTGATAAAGGAGACTGTTTTGACTGTGATGGCTGTCTTGCCAGTTTGTGTTTCTGAGACACAGCAGAGGGCTTAGAAGCAATACTTGTGAGTTGCGTGCTCAAAACTGAGGCTGGTGGAGTAGGTAATACTTGAGGTGTGGTGGTTGCACTGGGCTGTCTAAACCCATCCTGCCTTGTTGAACCTACTGGTGTTACAGGAAGTGTCCTAGTTGATGTATTTGGCTTTCCATTGCTCTTCAGTAGATCAGGAAGTTTTCTAGAAGTGGCCTGAGGTTGTGGTGTAATTGTAGATCCTGCTGTTGC